ATCCTATGCAGTAAAACGTGGCATGTAAACAGCAAAACGTACGTCTTGTCGAATCGAAATGAAATCCAAGGTCAGATCGCAGAAATGACAGGAGAAGCATAGATTTGCGAGAACTGATAGGATAAAACGTTATAACACGTGAAAATACATGTTCAGACAAGTCGTCCGATCTTGACTCAGTTGACGACTAGCTCCACTGCAGTTCGCTTCATTTTTACCAAAAAAAAAGCCTAATAATGTCAGATTTGCGGTAATACACCCACGATTTTCTAAAGGAATTTATTGAAATGTATGAAAGTTTTCATATATTTTATACATTAAATAAATTAAGGAAACTATTCAATCTATGTTTGCAGCAAAGAGAGGTGCCCAAAGAGTGGAACAATGCTACAACCATCCTTTTGCATAAAAAAGGAGATAGAACGGACCTAGAAAATTATAGACCTATTATCCTGTTGAACCACATATACAAGCTCTTCACTAGGGTAGTGACATCAAGATTGGAGAAAAAATTAGATTTCTACCAACCGAGAGAGCAGGCAGGATTCCGCTCAAATTATGGTACCAATGATCACCTCCACACAGTAAAGACACTCATTGAAAAATCTATAGAATATAACAAACCTCTTGTTCTCACTTTCATAGATTTTCATAAAGCGTTCGACACGATCGAATTAGACAGCCTTATAGAAGCAATGAATGACAGCAGGATTGACCATAGGTATAGTGAGCTTATTTATAATATTTACAAAAATGCCACTATGACTGTTAAAATAGACAATAAAACCCGACCAATAAAAATAAATCGTGGAATAAGGCAAGGAGATACATTGTCGCCGAAATTATTCATAACGGCATTAGAATATGCATTTAAGATGATCAATTGGGACCACAGAGGAGTAACGATAGACGGCGAAAAGCTTAACCATCTCCGTTTCGCAGATGACATTGTCCTTATCACAGATAATTTAGGAGAAGCTACAGATATGTTAAACAAATTGGATTTTGCATGTTCGAAGGTGGGCCTGAGAATGAACTTGACCAAAACTAAGTTTATGACAAATTTGGTCCCCAATAACCATCTGACTATTCAAGACAAAGTGGTAGAACTGGTGGAGAAATATACGTATTTGGGTAATGAAATAAGAATCAGCAGGGATAACCAAACATGTGAGATCCAAAGACGAATTACTTTAACATGGGCAGCCTTTGGAAAACTGCAAGACACACTTAGGGCCAACATACCAATCAGCCTCAAAAGAAAAGTGTTTGACCAATGCGTATTACCGGTCATGACCTAAGGGGCGGAAACTATGACTTTAACCAAGACCACGGCTTCGAAACTGAGAGTGGCACAGAGACGAATGGAACGGTCTATGCTGGGAGTGACGTTGAGGGACCGAATAAGAAACGAATATCTGCGAAGAAGGACGAGTATTACTGATGTTGTGGAACGCATAGCGGAACTAAAATGGAACTGGGCAGGCCATGTAGCGAGAATGCACGATTCACGATGGACGAGCAAAATTACAAATTGGAGGCCAAGAGCAGACAAACGCAGTAGAGGAAGACCACCCACACGTTGGGCCGACGATATCAGGCGTATCACTAAAAATTGGCAACAAAGAGCACACAATCGTGAGGAATGGAGGAGTTTAAGGGAGGCCTATGTCCAGCAGTGGACGTGATAAATAGAGGCTGGATGATGATGATGATGATGATGATGATGAAAGTTTTCCTTGTTTAGGCAAGTGAAAATTTTTTTGGTGTTTAAATTAAAGAAAAACATTTTTTTAAACCTCTACCTACTTATAACTAATAAACAAATAGTAGTTTGGCTTTAGTTAGTAGTAGTTCTATTTTAAAACAAAGTAGATTGTATGACAGGTTTCAGCAATTATTTGGCTTAACGCTGGTTTGTATATTATGGTAGTGAACTCCAAGTGCTTGAGGCTGCCTCCTGTTGCAAGATATCTGAGAGTTGCTGTGAGTCTTTTGTAGGTCGTAATGGCTTTTCTCATCCAGTTATTTTGTTTCAATATGTATGATGTTACCAAATCTAGCAATTGACAATAGGCTGAGGTATTTATTCAAATAATTGCGCCAGTCATCTGATTCGCCTCTCAGTTCTTTTAGTAACGAGACGGCCACTCCCTCTTTATCCCCTTTTTTCTCAGCTCTAGTATCGTTATAGTTGAAAAAATAAAAGAAAACAGCCGTGTTTCCTCCAGAATAAAAAAATCACTAAGCTAACTTTACACAACTCAAGAGTCTTACGCCCGGTTCCACCAACGTGATCTAAGTAAAATCTTACGTAAGTTTTGCTTAGTCAAAAAAAATTCTTAGTTGAAATTTGCGTTCCACCATACAAATTCTTACTTAACTTAACCAAGAAAAAACTTAAGTTATTAAAGATACCAACTTCGCAAAGTTGTCAAAAATTCTTAACCTGTTGACTCGTTATTAACAAAAAAACAACAAAAAAGAAGAAAAATTTGTGTCATTTGTCATTTTTGATGCTGTCTTTAATGTCATTTCAATATTTTATAATATTTATATTTATTGTTAATGGTAATCCTTGTGTATTTTGCGAATTTATTCTGTTGCTAGTTAATAATGGTAAATAATAATTTAAAATTTAGGGATAGTTTTGAAAAATAGTAATTTATAGTAATAGTATAGTGACAATAATTTGAACGAGTCTCAGAATGAACCAGATGAGACTGTATTGGAAATCATAAACAACAAAACAGTCGTTGGGTTGAACAACCCGTATGATGATGAATCTGCACTGGATAAAAGCTTTTTGTAGTAACAGGTATGTCATCTTCAGTATTTAATACAATTCAAATTATTTATTTTTTTTTGTTTTCAGAGAAGAAAATCAAATATAGGATTGTGCTCATGTAGAGTTTCATAGTAGACAGAAATAGAGAAGGAAATAAAGAAAGAATAGAGAGCCTTTCAAGCAAAACTCCAAGCCCTACAAATAAAACAAAAAGAAGTAGAATTGGAAATGCTTCAACAAAAAAGAAAACTTATGTTCGAGAATGAACCTCTAGAGAATGAAATAAAAAAAATGTAAACATTAATCAGTTAATAAGATTTCAATAAAAAGTCATTATTTATTATATTATTATTTCTGTTATATACTGACACATTGTAGTTGATGTCATCTTTTTTATTTATTTATTGGAATAAAATTTACAAGTCCATATAACTGAGGTAAAGTATGAAGTCTATTTATATACTATGATCTTTGTGGAGTATAATTAGTTTTTATATATTTGTTTACAATACAATTGAAGCCAATAACTGTTCTATGTTTAAAAATATGAAAGTATTGAAATTGCATAGAAGTTAATAAAGTATACATAAAAAAAATAGAAGAGAAATATAAAATGAAATATAAAAATATGTTTAGTATAGTAAAATTTTAGAATTTATAATGATGGCTAGATGATAATGATAATGATCCATTTTTGCAAATATCACACACTATTTTCTATTATATACACGATAAACTATACACTTCCGTGGAATTAAAAAAAATATATATACTTAGAAAAAATCCTATCAACACTAAAATATCTATGTACCTACACTGTATATACACTATCAACTATTATATACTACGTTTTATTAAAGATTACGGTAGAATTTATAAAAAATAGGAATATAAAAATTAAAAAATTATATCAACTAAATGCGAAAATTAACATAATATATACAGAATAGATTTAAATTTAACCTCACTTATATGTCAATATATGACAGATGAATGTGCTCCAAGTTAAAATTTTTACTTAAGTCGTCCTAGTAGCTGACTTGAGTTTAAGCAAAAATATTTATACTTAAGTAAATATTTTTAGTTGGTGGAACGAAAATTAACGGACTTAAGTAAAAACTATTTCTTAAGATCAAATTTTCACTTAAGTCACGTTGGTGGAACCGGGCGTTAATAAGAAATGAAGTAGTAAACGGAAGGAAAAACGTAGTGTGTATACAGTGGACAAAACGTACATTTTGTCGTACGTTTTATATGACCCACAAAACGTACAAGAAAACGTAGCGTGAAAACCGCCTTTAGTCTACGCTTCATTTTACTGCCTGCAGTATAGATAAAGTATAAAGAACCTACTAAATAGAAATACGTTTGCTGAACATTACCAACCTAAGTTTATATGCATTGTTAAAAAATCTGTGGCAAATGGAATTGGCATTAAGTTAAAACTAGTTACACACATCGTATTCCTGTTTACTTACAAATTGGACTTCGTAGCAATTCTAATAGAGTATCTATATTATTTCACAAGCTGTATAATTAGTTTTGGAGTCGCTCAATTTTTTTGGTTGAGTTGATCGAAATATTCATCACGCTGTTCGGCGTTGGTTACGAGATATTTAAATTGGCTCGTCTAAAACTCAGTGGTTCGAATATTAGCACAAAATTATAGCGTTGCACATACACGCAGAGAATTATTTCAGTTGTTACTGACAATGACGCATTAATATGCGAGCATTTGTGCGCGTTTTGATTGAAATGGCGGTCGTCGTGGCCACATCCCGGTGTCCACGATGGAATAACCAGGAATCAATGTTTGCTATTATTTTGAATTTAAACGCCTCATTTCAAATAAGTTACTATTTGAAACATTATTGTGAAATAATCTTCATCGATTTATTGATTATGTTTTAAACTTTGTTTTTTGTCGAAATACTTGAATTTTCATTATAATGCAGTAACATAGGTCATGAGATTGTATTCAGTATCAAAGGACACTCAAAATGTTATTAAGAAATAGTCAAATAATTGGCTTTTTGTTTATTTGAAGAGAGCAAAAAACATGATTTTACGAAAAAAAAATATCAATAGTCAGCTATTTGTCAATGTCACTTTTGAATGTCACAACCAAGATCTGAAAATAATTAGAAATCTTTACTGAAATCAGACAGCAAATCTCAGAGTTGAAGGTGAACACACTGACTATGTGAAAATCATACGTGGAGTGGGGCAAGGCTGTATTTTGTTTCCTCTTATCTTAAATCTGTACTCCGAAAGAATCTTTATCGAAGCTTTGCACGAAACTGAAAAAGGTATTCTACTAAATGGTTACCGGCTAAACAACATCCGATATGCAGATCACAACATAGTTGTAACGAAAACTATTTTGCCTACCTTAGGGTAAGATTATGGGGGTAGAAAATTGGGGACAAAAACTAAGGGGGTTGAGATAGGGTAAGAAAAATAATCGATATTTGTGCGTATGGCACTCAGGGGTTAATTTAAGAGCTGGGTCGTGGATAAGTTGAATAATAAAGGGGTCGGATTGGGGTAACTACCAAAAAAAATAAAACAAAGGGGTACTTACATAAATCTCCTGGACAACTGAGCAAATATAACAACAAGGAAGGACTTCTAGCAATTTAAGATAAGTGCGCCGCTTCGAAGGATCTTATTCTTGCTAAAGGAAAGAAAAAAAGGCTCTTCTTTTAGGCCTCTAAAATAAGATAAACAAAATAATCGGAGAAATAAATCAAACATTTATTTTTGTCTCAAACAAACAGTTACAAAAATACAGATACCACAAAAAAATACACTATATTAATAGTTGCAAAATGAAAAATTCCAAAGAAAAAACTTACATGTCCAATCTGTTTACATTGGAGATTGCTACAAAATCTTTCAAAATGGTTGCTAGGTTATTTATCACTGTGGCCAAAATAGATTATTGAAATTAAGGATATCTTTATAAATGATAATATCGTAAGGTTTTACTTTTTCTACAAGGAAATTAAAAATTGTCACAACAAAAATAAATTAAAGCTAGCTGTCACATGTCAACATTTAATTTTAATGACAAAGAACAAATAGATTGACAGCATAACCACGCCCTTGATTTAGGATATATAATACATATTACATTATTTAAATTGTTATGAAAGCAATTATTGTTAATTAAAGAAATGTCTATTTTACTACGAAAATTAAACACAAATTGTAACCTTTAATTCACATAATATTTTACATTGAAACTTCTGAGAATTAAGCGGATCAAGCGGGAATTTACTGGAACCTCTGCTATATAGAAGGACTGCTTTAAACTGGACTGGAAAAACGACCAGATACAAATAAAATTGAGGTTGGAATCAAGTCAACTGCACATAGTGGGCACACCCTATATACTGCTTTAAATACCCTTCATATTCTAGTACACTGCACAAATCCCTCAAAAATTTAACAAAAATATTTAGTATTTACTCTTTCATAATCTGTCATCTGTCAAACTAAACTAAACAACCTACGTTTCGCAGATGACACAGCCCTTCGCAAATAGTCAAGCAGAGCTGATAGAACTTATACGACTGATCGAAAACGAAAGTCAAATATTTGGTCTGCAATTAAACATATCAAAGACAAAGATCATGATAGTGGATAGACTACACAACAATCATCCACACATAACCACAATTGACCGGTTCGAGGTTGTGAGCTCATACTTATATCTGGGATCATTAATCACAAACACAGGGTCATTACAAGAAGAGATTAAACGTAGATCTGATCTAGCAAAAGTTGCCAAAAATGGACAAAATATGGAAGGACTGTCAAATTTCAAGAGCGATAAAGATGAGGTTGATCAACTGCTTAATATTCCCAATACTGACCTACGGATGTGAATCTTGGACTCTGAGACAATCGGAGAGAAGAAAGATAGACGCCACTGAAATGTTCTGTTGGAGACGAATGTTACGAATTCCTTGGACCGACCGCAGAACAAATAATTCAATTTTAAGAGAGCTAAAAGTTAGCCAACGACTCTCTAGTAAAGTCCATCTCCAACAATTAAAATATTTTGGGCATGTTATGAGAGTAAACACGAAAACATGGAAAGACTCATAATACAAGGAAAGGTAGAAGGCCGAAGATCACGAGGAAGATCCTCAACAAGATGGATAGATCAAATTACAGGAATATGCCAAAGACCTATGCATGAATTAAAAGAAATGACCAGAGACAGAGATCTCTGGAGACGGACAATACACGACATCACGTCGACCACTACACTCCCCCTGGGGGGTCAGGATTGAATAGAGAGAATCTGTCATATTACACAGAGTAAACATTCACAAATTTGCCGGTCTGGACCACTGACTTAAACCAATATATTATTTTTCTATCACTTAAACTGTCCACACGTCAGTCAAACATGACATCGTTCCAAAAACCTGCCTCTTGGCCTTCTCGATCTCAAAACCAAACGCAAATCACTTCCCTTTACGTCTCTTCCGATGCCCGTTCGTGCCACCGAACTAAAACAAATTCGTTAGACCTACGAATCGTGAAAAATAACCTTGAATCTGATTCCGGCGTTAATGCGTGTTGGAAAAAAAGAACACAAGACTTCTCAATCTTTTTCTAGGAACGTCGAACTTAAAACGCAATATATCGATCATTTTAAAATTCCTTTGCAAACAGATAAACGAAAACTTACCATCTCGACAAGGGCGTACTACAAAATTTTATACATAGATATTTTATAGTTAAAAGAAACTTAAAACGCTACATGGTATTAGAGTATTGAACAACTATGAAGACCTACAAGTTCTTATGAACAAAATCACGTATTACAGTCGACAATATGGACTCAATATAACCGTTAGGAAGAAAAAAATTATGATAATTAGCAAGAAAAGGAAAGCAGAAGATCAACTCTACGTCAACCGTTCCTATGTAGAAAGAATGACGCACTACAACTACCTCAGCACCATAATAAATGACGAATGGACCAACAACCAGGAGATTAGAGCACGCATCGGAAAAGCTAGATCAGCATTCAATCGGATGGAGGCCTTCTTCAAGAGTCACAACCTCCCTCTTGATACATAAGTAAGAATTCTCCAGTGCTACGTCTTCTCTGTCCTTTTTTATGGTGTTGAATTGTGGACCTTAAAAGAAGATATGTGCAAAAAACTGGAAGCATTTGAAATGTGGCTATATCGGAGAATACTTAAGATCCCGTAGACGGACGAGTCACAAATGAGGAGGTCCTAAGAAGAATGAATAAGAACCGAGAGATATTGACCACCATCAAATCTTGAAAGCAAGGATGGCTTAAAGGAGATAGGGTGGATAAAGGCTTTTATTATATTTTCCAAATATTTGATAAATATTTGGAAAACGAAGTCCAGAAAGAAAAACAACATCTTGGTTAAAGAACCTCAGAATTTAATTCAATACAACATCTGTGCAGCTTATATAATATAATAAAGTAAAGATTGCCATGACGATCGCCAATATTCGTAACGGATAGGTACATCAAGAAGAAGAAGACTTTTGGGTGGATCCAACACGAGGAAATTTGAAATTTATATCCTTAAAAAATGGCAGATGACGTTAGTATATAGGGCTGGGGCCCTATAGTATAGTATAGTGGGCTATACTCCACTTTGACCTTTGATCCCGCGTGACAATCGGCGTGAATGACGCGACATTCGACGTTTTATGAGACGTTTTACGTGACATTTAACATTTTAAGTGACAGAGACACAATAACAAAGTGTAACAAAGGGTAACAGAGACACACAGAGCCCAGCAGAGACATATAGACGTAAACCAGCAGAGACAATAACAGAGTGTCACAGATGGCTCTGTATGTCTCTGTTACCCTCTGCTACCATCTGTTAACGTCTCGTAAAATGTCGAATGTCGCGTTGTTTACGTCGATTGTTACGCGGAGTCAAAGGTTAAAGTGGAGTATAGTGGAGCTCTATCTACTCACGTTGTCCCTCATAAGTTTTGGATTCAAAAAATTCCAAAACTTCATATTTTTGTTATAAATATTAGCATGAATGAATTTTACAATTTTTATTGAGAAGATACATGAGATTGTAAGATGAATAAAATGCAAATTTATTTGGTTTGAGCTCACTAATCTCCTTCTTTCACTATTTCGTTTATTTCATCCATCCTACTTCAGCTCTACTGCATTTATTTTTTTTTCGCGTTACTTTAAAATACTAAATAATTTACCTAAAATTATCACCTTAAAACTATTATTGTTTACAATTAATTCACTATCCAAAGTTATCATTTTATTTGTAGTAACTCAATATTTAAGGCTTTTTTTTCGTCTTTAGAAGGGGCTCTGAAGATAGTTCGCGAGATATTTTAAAATGCCCTCTCGTCGCTAAGACTAGACCGAACGCCTACCTGCTAAACGAGACCCTCCTCTGTCATCCAACGATCCGGAAGCGGAATGCCAGCTGTAAGGAGGCCCTTTCTTGCTATAGGTAGCGCGTAGGAGACCTTTATTACTCCTAGTACGGCATTATGGTAGTACTCACTTTTCTACCTTCAACTTCCAGCATTTTTCCCTCTTACCTTTGTCATTGGTCCAGCTGTCTATCTTTCTCTTCTTCTTTGTTGATCACTGCACGGACACAGTTGTCCACACTAGTCTAACCTGCTTTATTTTTAATCATTCTCTCAATCATTTTTCTCACTGTTACAAAATTCGCACCTGCTTCTCTTTCGACACAGTTGGATACTTCGTATGTGTCACAGTATCCAAGTGTCCACAATATAGACATTCATCTGTCTCAGTCTTTTCGAACCTAGAGAGGTAGCTCCTAAAACACCCATATCCTGTAGGTACCTGCGTTAGAAAATAAGCCAGTCGCCTGTGGCCACAAAACACCTAATCTCTTATGTTTGGAATTAGCATATTTATCCAGTGTGCTACATCCTTCAGGTTGTTTCATTTTTTTGCCATCTTTTAATTGATTTTTCCTTTTTCTGTCTTCTCTTGGCCATAGTAACGTTTGTACCTCTTCTCTCATAGAGCACTTTTCTTTTAACCACCAAAACATGCAACGAAATACATCTCCAGTGATGGTCCACAAGGCTGTCGCAGACACTTTGGGACTCTCAATGTTAAGTATCACTTTTCTTAACGCAGCAGCACTATTTGCAACCTTCCAAGTCACCTTTTGTACGTGCTCCCCCCATTTTACATTCTAGTGCAAAGTCACTCCTAGGTATTTTACGTGTTTCTTGGGTATTAGAGCTGCAACTGCACATTGTAATTCCACACTTTGCCTGTTCCTTTTCCCCTCCAGAATGATAGCTTCGGTTGCTTCGGTTTTCTTTGACGCAAGTTTCAGTCCGTGCTGCATCATCCATTTGTTTACGACTTCGCCAGCGTTCCGAACCCAGTATTTGAGATCTGGCTAAACCCAGGCCAATACCAGTACAGCAAGATCATCCGCAAATATAAAGGGGGTTGTAGCCTCTCCATATTCACAGTTTATAACCCCGTCACGTATGAGGTTCCGTAGCGTCGGGCCTAATATAGGTCTCTGGGGGACCCCAACCGTCACGTCAACGATAATGCCCTTCTCCACCATCATCCTTCTCTCGGACAGATACTCCGCCATTACATTCATCAACTAATCAGGATATTATCCCTTCTCCATTGCCATTATTACTTCATTCTACTGCAGCGTATTGAATGCATTTCTAACATCGAACAACAGCAGGGTGGCCAAGTAATGTTCGTCCCCTCTGTTGCGCAGTGTTTCGAGCATATTTACGATTGCATTAGTTGTGATTTTTCTCTACAAAAACCACATTGCCTTCGAGATAAACTACCTGATCTCTTAATCATTTCGTCTGTGCGTACTTGCAGGATCCTTTCATCAGCTTACCTATGCATAGAAGAAGGCAGATGTGGTGATACTTTTCCCTAGTCTTGGGAGCAGTACTAACCTCGATGTCTTTTAAGGCTCAGAAAACGTCTGTGCTTCCAGCAGTGCATTAATGTCTTTCTGAAACCTGCAGGCTTCGCCCGTTCTAGACCCTTTACCACCTCAGGTAGTATCTAATTCAGTCTGGGGGACCTGTACGTCTTGACTGAACCCAATGTCTTGACAATCTTTAGGGCTGCGTGATACAACTGTGCTTCACAATTCTCCTTATATGAAATTTGTTTTCTTAGTAGCTTGGATAACTCTTTTATATTTTTAAATTTTTTTTAGTATCAATTTGACTATTCAATTAAACCAGCTTCTTTTTTATTGTTGATTTATTTAACTGGATTATTTAGGATAACAAAAATACACTTACGTAATTTAAACTACATCTTACAACAACCCCAACTGTTAGTTTATTTTTTCTTTTTTGTATGTAAAGTAAAAAGGACAGCAAGCGACAAGGAGAATTTAAAACGATTTACAATAAATTTTAACCTAGGTTATATTTTTAGGATACTACTGTCTAAACTACTGGATAACTATAACTAAATATATTCTTTTTAATAAAACACTTAATGAAACACGTCCCAAGACTTACTGTTCTATATTCAGAGCAGTGACACTACTTATTTAGTATATATAAGATTTGATGCAAGTTTTAATGTAGTTCTTACAGTAATTAATTTAGAAATTTCGAAATCTAAATTGTTTTAAAATTTTCCTGCACTATAGAAGAGGACGTGATCTGAGTAAACTGTGCCATTTTAAAATAAAATTAATATTACCAGTTAATAACTCATCTCAGCCTCCACAAAATCTCAGCTTAAGATCTCATTAGCATAGTTCAACCGACAGAACGATTCTCATCTAAGAAATTACAAAGACAAACCAACACGAACTCTCTAAAGGCAAATGAATGCAAAAGGTCTCTTGTACTTCACCATTAAAACAACAGATTAAAGTGTCATCTGAAATTAAGCTTGCAAATGAGAATTTACTTTGTAATTTATCGCCTTATTTAAAATTCACCAGGCGATCTGGGTAGAATTTCAAAAATAGTCTTTACTGCTTGATAACGAGCTTCCAGGCTGCATCTAAATGTTGTGTAATTTTACTTTGTCGAAATAGAACGACGCCGTTTTTTATTGGTTTCTGTTCAAAGTCGGGAAATTAATTCCGGTTGAGGCTGCACAGTAGACGTTTAGAATTTGCCATTTACTTCTTTCGATCAGACCGTATCTACAGTCTGGTAAGGAAAATAGATTATTCCTTGGACAGGATCAAGCAATTAAATTAACTCCAACACAATACAGCTCCAATAATTCAATGAAAATATACGGTATATTTTAAAGAAAATTCCGATCAACTACAATTTTTTAGAATTTCGACGTTAAACAAAGATTTCCAGATATTCTTGAAAAGAAAATCTTAACAAGATTAGTGTTTTTGGCTTCACAAGTCATTACTTAAAAACCTAAAATAAAAGTATTTCTTTTTATACCTTTCCGCTTTTCCAGAACTTTTGGTGTTGTGGCTGTGCGCAGTCTTGCATCTTGTATACGTTAATGTTGGTCTTGATTTATGGATATCATCATCTTTGGCTCGACAATCCTCTGTGGATCTTGGTCTGCTCTAAGATTCGTCGCCAATCTGTTCGATTTCTGGCAACATGTTGACATCTTCTGATTTTTAATATCCGTAAGTCGGTTTCAACTCCATCTAACCACCTAATTCGCGGTCGGCCTTTGCTTCTTCTTCCTACAGGTGTTCCTGTGGTTAGCTTTTTAGCAATCGTATTTTCTGGCATTCGTATTATGTGTCCAGCCCATCTAAGTCGCTGTGTTTTAATGAACGTTATGACATCTGGCTCATCAAAGAGCTGATACAATTTAAAATTATATCTTCTGCGCCACTGCCCTTGGTCGTTTATAGCTCCAAATATTTTGCGGAGTATTTTACGCTCAAATATTCCCAGAAGCCTTTCATCTTTCTCAGCAATGTTTTGTATATAATAATTTTAGTTCTTCTTTGAAAGTTTCTTGAGTGGAAATGCTTTTGGAGTCCATAGTGTGCCCTATTTGTAAGATGTAGTCGCCTTTTGATTTATTTGCTTGTTTTATTGGTAGCAGTCAATAGCGAC